CCCCAAAACCCCAAAACCCCGTAATTATATTTTTAAAAATGTATGACAAAATTGAAATTTATAATACTGAAATTAAACTTATATTCAATATCATTAAAATCTCTTATTAATCTTACTAAAAATACTTGAACCATCAAAAGCAAAATAACTCAATTTCACTTTTTAATTTGGATTTTAAACTGCTAAACCATAGAATTATCTTTAGAAGAGTCTAATACCTTAAACACCTCAATTTCTAGAACTTTGAATCGGTCTTTTCCCGCTAAATATTAGTGATTTGTTAAATTTAGTCCCTACTTCATTGAAGTATCATCATAGTGTGCCCCTAATTCAGCAATGCTGTCTTGATTCACATTGCAATTGTCAACTATCACAAGATCATTAAATTGTTTCCAAATCAAATCAACTGTCCAATATACTTCCCAATCCTTTTTAAGTCTAGGGTGAATTGAATTATGAGTTAGGGAGAAAATAAAGGAATTGCTACCAGGACCAATTTTTACAATTCCTTACTACCAATCAGATGTGACAAATCCTCCAAAGACAAATCCTTATTCACTTAGGATAAATGAAAGTGTCTTACTCTCATTTTTGCATTTTTCACGCAAATTTTCACCTCGGAATCCATCTCTTGATCCTCTGAATAATAATTCACACTAGTATTTACTATTTTACTTGAAACAGTTATTCCAGAGAAAACCTCCTGTCTAAATTTCTTTCTCAACAAGTTTTTGGAAATGGAGAAGCTTTGATTCATTCTTATGAATTTTAGACTAAAGACTACATTATACTGGCTTTATCTGGGAAAACTCATAATACTTATCACTAAATCTATCTTCTATCTTTTAAATTTCTTGAGCGTTGTTATTGGATGTATACATCTAAGCTATCTCTTTTTAAATTGCCAATTCTTTTTATTTTTATTTAATCTACTGCTTGGTATCTCTTTTCCTAAGTTTCACTTCCTAATTCTTAGGTTACTCATTCTGTTCTTAAGGATTTTTGCTGCTCTACTAGAATATCTAATCATCTAATTTATAATTGGAATTTTATTTTTTAGTCAAATACATGTTTAGATCACATTTTTCTATCAAGCTTAAATTGAATCTCTCTTTTTCAATTGTTCTTATTATAAGATTATGAGCAGTGGAGCATTTATCCATTATATAATCACTATTAAACACTTTATCCCCTGAACTAAGGTTCAAAAGAATTTCTAAGATATCCTGAATTCTTTGTATTGCATCTTGAAGTTCAGGTATTACTTGCTAAAGATAATTCTCAAACATTGACTTTTTAACTAGGGAATGATCTCTAGATTAGTGATTCTAAGCATCGCATAATTGGATTCTACATTACTGGCAGGTGAGTTTTCAGGTTTTCTAACAGTACTAATCAATCTACTAGTTTGCATGACTTGAGCATTTAATACTAATAAAATCTGATGAAGCAATGAAATCTTATATGTCCAGACTCTCCTAAAACTTAAAGTCTTTCTGACATAAATGCAGATTGTTTTTCGGGCATTCAAATGTAGCCCCAACAGCAGTCATAATAAGTATGTCTAAGCAACTCTTGCAAATACTATGGCCACATGATAGTTACATTGGCTTTCTGTTGGAAATATTGTAGGTGAGTTAGCAAGATTTACAAATAAGGAAATCCATCAGAGTCTTACAACCTATATTGAGAATTAAAAATGTTGATTGCGGAATTTAAATTCGTACTTTAACTGTCGATAATTAGAAATAATAATAATATTTATTATTTCATTAGATTCTTTCAATTTATAGTAAATTCCATATGCTCGGGGTTTTGGGGTTTTGGGG